TATAAAATTACTGTATTGAATTGAATGATGAAAGTTAGCAGAGCTTTACCTCATTCACTAAACTAATGGAAAATTCCCATGCAAAGTGAACAGCCCATTTGCATTTAGTAAATCACCCCTTATAGGCAGTGCAGAGTTGAATGTGACTTGTTGCAGTTCACTGTGTTCAATCAGAGCAGCAGGTAAAGAAGAAATGACACCAGCACACCAGACTCCTGTACATGAGGGGATGTACTTGTACTTGTACTTGGGCCTGAAAAAGTGGCATCGGGACATCCCTACCTTAAAGGATAATCAATCGTGGATTTATTGAAAACTCATGTCAAATACACTAGCGCTTTCGGGACCACACAGGGACCCTTCATGAGGCATAGCAGTGATGATGAAGGGACCCTGTATGATCCCGAAAGCGCTTGTGTATTTGACATGAGTTTTCAATAAATCCATGATTGATTATCCTTGAAGGAGTATGGTGTGCTGGTGACATTTCTCCTTTACCATTTGCAACTTGCGGCACCATCCGCATTCATTCCAAGCACCCTTCCCCACATACGGGGTTTTCCGGTAAGGAGTGCAGTAAACCTTCTTTATCGTATTCCCAATCAGTACAGCAGACACAATGTGCAATACATAAATGAATATAAACCTGGTATTACCTTTACCAATCAGTTAACGAGGAACAACAAAGGAGAGTAGATCCCCCAACAATCAGATATAGATAGAAATCAATGTCCCCTCTAACACTCAGACTGCTAAGTGAGCATGTTCTGTAGCCATTCTTACATTCAGCAAGTTGCTGCCTCTCCTCCAGGAATCCATATTCTGGATATGGAGCTAGAAGGAAACAAGACAATAGAGTCACTGATGCAAATGGGACGGACAGATCTGATAAATGTTATAATGAAATGTAAGAAAATACAATTATATCATTAACATTAGAAATGTTCACTTATGTCTGAAAAGACATTTGAAGAGTACATGCAGCCCAAAGGGAAATGTTCAGATTTTGCTTACTGCCATGGAGGTCGGTCATCATGACAGCATTCAACAATGTCATATCCACATCTATGCTGGAGAGGCCCTCCTTGGGTAAGCTGCCAAATACCTTCCTCTCCACCTCCCAATGCCTGAAACATGTTTTGATGCCAGCGTTGCACAAGAAAATATGCCTTACCGGGTCTTACTGTAGGCAAATTGTACTATTTAAAAATACATTTAAGGATTATTAAATAAATCATTGTTGCAATAATTGGGAGTATTGTATGCTTCCACTATTCTGCTTTAAATATATTTACAGCTGCATTTCAAACAAATTCGAAAAGACATTGCTATGTAGTGCTATGCCTACTAGGAGCAACGCCTACCTGCTGTTCAATTTTACATCTCCACACTGCTGAAGTGCAACCCACCCCACCGCATTTGTCTGTAACATAGTGACAGTGATCCTGGAACACATCTACAGGAAATGTTGGAACACTTTACATGCTACCTCTCACACACAGCTTGCATTTTACAGCTATAAAAGGTTTTTGGAATGAGATTGGTGATGCAGGAAAGACAGGCGATGAGGGATGTGAAAGTTTTCAGAAAGCTCCCTTTACACTCCGAATACCCTCCTACAGACTATCTCTGGAGCAAAGTGTGTTCATTCTGGAGATGATTGCCGGATGAACTTCGGGCACAAAAACCTTTATTTAAAAATATCCATGATAGCCATAAAGGATATAGATCTACTTTGTGTGCACAAAATGCCTTTGCAACCCCAGATAGTACCTTGGAAAAGTAGTGCCAATATCATCATTGTACCACACGTAGCCTGTGCAGAAAGCAGAGCTGTGGGAGGGGCCCAGCAAGTACAACTACTACAGGCTGTCTGCAGAAAACTAGGGGGAGAGGATAGAAGGCCAAACACCCTGCACAAGGAGAGATAGCAGTAGTTACCAGTCTTTATTTTGGAATCCTGCACAAAAGGCAAGAATTGTTTTATACTGGATTACTGCACATATCTAAAAGAAGGATTTGGTAAGGATAGAGGATCCCAAAACAAAAAGAACACCAAGTAAGAATAAACATGGCTGTTATCTGTGAATAGCCCGTATAGCACCCCCTCGGTTCTACTGAACCGAAGGGGTCCTGGGGCCGAAGCTAGCCGAAGGATCGGCCCAAGCTACGGCCAGATCCTTCGGCAGCTTCGTGAATAGACCCCTATATTTGTTTATAACAGCCTTTAGGTAAACTGAGTGAACTAGCTGACTTTAGCACAGTTGCTGAGCTTACTGGAAAGCATTAGTAGCTCACTGACTGGATTTAATTTTAGCTTTAAGAGAGCTAAATGAATACGCATCTTGCTAGAGTGTATCCCCCTTTCTTTCCGAAGTTCCACTTTAGCTTTATCCAAATTATCTGGCAAACGTTGCGTGGATAAATCAGTGTGAAAACAATCCCACCACCTCTGTACTCCTAGACCTCATAGTAGCTGCAGCATCTGACTCATATTATAGTTCTGCCCTTGTTTTGAGCATTTATCTTTGGGAATACTGGATACATTAAAAGAGAATGTTATAGGGAATAAATACTATATAGAAATTCATTTATTATATATGTTAATATAATGTTCCAGCATAACCATCTCCGAGTTGTATGTACAGTATTAAGCTTTAGGAAACCTAATAAAAGCGTTTTGTTTTCCAAACACAGAAATTATATTATTTTGCTTCCTTGCTTTATGTGCCAAGCCAAGGACGTACACATGATAATATCTATGTAAATGTGATCGGCTTAGAGCTGATCTTCAGGCAGATGTTAAAATTATATAAAAGTCAAAAAGTTTTTAAGCTATTTCAAATGCTGATGAAATCCCTTACAATGGATGCTGCTACTTCATGTTTAAAAGTTTCCTGCAGAACTAACTGGTCCCCGAGTACTGGCACGGGGATGGCTCATTTGCCTTGCAGGGACCTATGGAGTCACCCTGTGTGCCTCCATAAACACACAGGCACAGCAAGGTAGTGTACGTCAGTGCCATGCTATCCAGTTCCCTTCTCCTTTTTCCTGTCTTCCTGCCTCTCCATGCTAGTAGAGGGACCGTTGCAGGAGACTGCTCTGTCCCGTGTTATCTTGTACTGGACAGGAAGTTCTGGGAAGCCGAGCTGAGAGAGTTGGAGCTGTTTGGAAACATGACGACTGTAGATGCTTGTGCAAAAATATAAAGAAATACTTAGCTGGGCAATGTATAATTGTTTGATCGGGATTCATTATTGAACAAAGTTTGAGAGTTTAATACTACTTTAGGAACACAAATCAGTGCAGCTGTGTATTAAATTAATACATCATTAAATGTATTTTATTATTGCACCCAGTCAAAGTACCTGAATCTAGTTTGGTATCAGACTCTTGCAGTACTGGGTACAGCAGAGCTCAGACTGGGGGAAAGAGAAGCAGCACAAGGTGCCAACCAGTTATGCTGTAGTGTTCATATGCTAACAAGGAGAATGCTGATAGCAGGAGAGAACAGAGTGGCAGAGAGATGAGGAAGAGATGGTTGTGTTATGTGGCAGAGCTGTGTGAATCTCAAAACTATGGGCGATTCAGATTGAGCAAATGATGAAAAAATACACAAATTGAAATTACCTTGATTGAAATTTAAAGGAGAACTATGAGATGAGTGATTTCCACTCACCTCATAGTTCTAGCCGACCTGTGACAATGAGACTGTCACAGGTCGGCTCAGTAGATCGGGAGGTGAGCGAACACATACCGGGTTCGCTCACCTCTTGATCCTGTCACGGCTCTCTGCCGTGACAGGGGGAGGGGCTGGATTCCCCTCTCCGCCAGCGCTGACTGGCAGAATGGACGGGGGAGGGGGCGGGTACAGCTGGCTCTAGATAGGCAGAGCCAGCTGTCACTCACGCAGCTGGGCGGATCCCGATGTCCAGGTCGGGATTCGCTCCGGCTGCGGCGCCTCAGTATACCGCGAGCTGTAGCTCGCTGTATACTGAGCTTAGGGTAACGGGAGGACGCTAGTTTGTGTCCTCCCGTTACCCTAAGGAGAACTATGGGGGAAAACACTGACCCCATAGTTCTCCTTTAATATCAAAATTTACACTAGATTCAGAGATAAAGTCAGATAATATATTAAAATGTCAACTAAAGTTTAGGCAATGCCTACTACTTCTTCTTGCCTCTCATGATACTCTATTGAACCTTTAAGGTGATTGGTGGCCTCAATGGCCAGTACAGCACAGGGGACACAGTCACAATCATGTAAGTTGTCTTACCAACATGTGTTCTGTTGAAGTGTTTTTATTTGTAGTTTATTAATGTAACATACTGGACGGCTTGGAGAGCGACACCACTCATGTCTTTTGAGTATAAGAACACAGTGGTGTCATCTCCCCGCCCCCAGTCTGCTGATAAGCCAATGACGATGCAGCAGCACACTACTGAGGTCACATCTGTGCTCTCCCCACCGATAAGCATGTTCACAGTGTTAAATAGAATGAGGCATCTGAGGTACTAACACACCAGTGGGATTACAAAATACATTTTATGATTTTTTTTAACAAGTACATAGCTGAATTAAAGGATGTTTTTTATATTTATTTGGACATCCCTTTTAGCTGTGCTGCATGTCAGTGAAGAACTATATCTGCAAAAAAGCAGAGCTCCGAGATGAGGATCTAGTGAGTGACTTCTGAATAAATTGTGAAGACACAAGAGTTCAAGTTTCCCAGCAGGAGGACTGGGATTCCAAGTTTCCAATCTCATCACATAAGAAAATGATCTGCAACTGAATCCAGAGCCGGTCTGTCATCAAGACCTTAGTGGTTGCACACAGGACAAGGGATGCCCACACAAACCTTTCTGCTCAGCTTTGGCCTGGAACAAGGAGCAACGTTAGCCGTAGGGACCTCTTGGCCCTTTGCGAAACTTCTAGGATTAAGCCAATTAATCAGATAAAGAAAATTGATCATTTACTTCTGAAATGCCTATTTCAGATATCAGCTACAGATGTATGAGGCCAAGACCGGATCACACTCCTGAGTGTGCAATGCCCTCTAGTGGTGAACTAAAAAAACATTCATTTTAAACCCGGGGATGGAAACTTCGGTATGAATGAATTGTGGACGGAGAGCTGGCACCTCATCAACATTGCGCAACTAGCTCTAAATCACACAAACAGCAACAGTGAAACTGCCAACTGTGGCCAGCTTTCTCTTCCTGCCAGCCTTCTAGCCAAGCAGTTAGGGACCTTGTGTTTCCAAGCACCATGTACAAAGTGAAGTGCTGTACACAGTGAACACACTCCCTGGCCGAAGCTAGTCACTAAATTAAACATTGGGATTAATTGTTGCTTTGAGGGTTTATACAATAACAAATATTTAGATACATTAGTTCTACTCTACCTGTTTATAAGCGACACACAGTTGGTAAAGTAATACACAATAGTAACAAATATTGACATTACCTGATTCCTTCTTTTCATGGTAATGATGCACTCCAAGATCTTCATCTAGTGTAGGGAGAGAGGGCAATT